AAGGCTCCCACCTCCTCCGCCACCGAATCCCGGTAGTATCTCAGGCTCTGGTCGGTCAGCACAAACCAGTGCTTCTTCCACTAGGAAACAACCGAGATGGGGAAGCCACCAGCAGAGCCCGGGCAGCTCATCACAGGTCACCCAGCAGCGATGCTCCGCAGGGAGGCAGCTCGCAGCCTCTCCCTTCCCAGCTCCACACCCGGCTTCACAAAGAGACCCTCCCGAGGGGATGGGGAGACCCAAACAGGTGGCAATGCAAGGGACACCGTGATGGTTTGCACTGCCAGGACCCCCAATTTCCCCAGCGCTGCCGCGCCAGCAGAGCACCGGACCCTCAGTGGCACCAGTCCTGCACATGATGGTGAAACATCGCCAGAGCCATGGGGCAGTTGGAGCCTTTCCATTAGCTCCACTAAGATGATGCTTTTATTGGCCGCACTTAAAGCCTTGGAGGGACTTTTTATTAAAAGAAAACAACAAAAAAAAGCAGTAAAACATTCATGGTTTATCTGCAGTACCTAGAAACTGAGTTGGAGACTATTCCTGGCCCTTGCTCTATACAAATACTCATTCTGCACGCTCCCAGAGAGGCACAGGCTTCCCCAGGGCAGCTTTCAGTTAATCAAGCACTCGCTCCAGCAGCTGACTCCCGCTCTGGCTGCCTGCAGATGGGTCCTCAGCCCCAGGGCCCAACACACCAGTGGGTACCCGCAGCGGAGCCCAGCCCACGGCACTCGCAGCCGTGGGCAAGTCATCCTCATTCTCCCTCACCAGGCTGAGCAGGAAGGAAGGAAATCCAGACAAGGGATGGTGTGCAACCAGCCAGGGACCCACACTGCCCTGGCATCAATGCCCATCGCTAAGGCTCTGATAGAGCCACACATCCCGCATCCCTCCGGGAATGGACAGGAGGAACACGGCAGGGGCTGCTTCACTCAGCACCAGCTCAGAGGCACTTCTTTATTTCTTGGCTTTGCCATTTCCCCGGAGCTCAGGAGACCTTTCCTGAGCCTCATTACTGACGCCAAAGAGGTTGCTGGGTCACAAGGGAGAGGAGACTAATACGAGAACGGGAACACGAAACCAGCGCTGCTATCTAAGCTGCCCTGGCTCCCTAGAAACACACGACTCAATATCCAGCCGTGGGGCTTTGAAACTTCCCCAGGACAGAGCACCAGCTACTCCCGCTCCAAGACAAACACCGCTTGCACAGGGCTCACACACAGCCACTGCTGCCCGGCTCCAGAGCCGTG